TCCACTGTGTCTCAGTGAGAGGGGGTAGACCACTGGAGTGTCTGACTGAGGACCCAAAGGTCTTGCCCGGGGAGCAGCTTCTCCCAGAGCGAGTGAACATAGAAATTGCAGAGGGTCCTGACTCTCGGGGCTTGCCCCTCTGCTCACTGAGCCCCACACCTTGTTGGGGCTGACCACCTGGGGCCTCCTGAGGGGCCTTCTTGCCCGGTCTCCATGATACCCCTTTGGGGCTGGAGGAATGTGGTGAATGGGCAATCTTCCTTAGGTTGAAGGTGGGACCATGGACAGTTCCCACCAGCATGGAAGGAACCCCAGTGCCCACCACAGCCAATTAAAGTCCAGGTCATGGCCCCCTCATGACAACCTTGAGCCACTTCACCTTGCTCATGGACAGCATGACCTTCCTGCTGGGTGTGATGGAAATGGATTGATCGTCAGGGACACCCGCTTCTGTGTGGTGTGGATGGTTCCTCAGCTTGGCCATGGCTAGCTTCAGCTTCCTGTTGTTCCTCCTCCTCGGCATCATCTCCATGGCCATAGGCTTCCCTTGGCCATTCAGGAGAGCCTTCTGCAAACTTAATGGGCAATTGGCTTTCCTGTACTCCAGAGTCGTCTTCCTCACAGTCATCACCCTGGATGGTTGCATCTGCCTGGTGTTTCAGCTCCCTGTGGTCATGGGACACAGGAGACTGGGCAAGATGGAGCTAGGGTCCGATCCAGGGCAGCACAGCTCCTACAGTCTTAACCTGCCTGCCTTCTTCCTCGCGCCACCCCCCTCACCACCAACCTGAATCTGGCCGACAGGAGCCCTGTTGGAATCTGACCCTGGATGCAGGCTTGGGTTGCACTTGGGCTCCCGCCTGCCCTCTGCTTCCAAGATGCCTCCTATTTTAGGAAAAAGTCACTGCTGCTTTTACTTTCCCTTAGCTTCACCTGGCAGCTGCCAGAAGCAGGGCCAGACAATTTTCTCCCTCTAGAGCATCTGCTCCCCGAGTCATCAGAGACTGGCTGCCAGGCCCTGCTGGTGTTCCCTACTGAATCACTTTCTGACCTCGGTGAGCCGTCCAGGGGCACTAACTGGCTGACTGGGTTCTTTTCCTAGTGGTGGGTCATCCTGAGGATGCTCTTCACAGGCCACCTTGGAGGGATGGATATCACATTTCCCTGTTTGGGGGGTGGGGAGCTCTGAGCCAGGGGGCAGTCTGAGGGCAGCAGCTATGTCCTGGAAGCTATTCAAAGGCTTTGGGAACTGTGGCCAGGCTAAAATAGAAATGCTTTGCAGCCAAGAATCCCCCTGGATGTGGGAGCAGCCCAGGTGCTGGTGCCAGCCAGTCCTTGTGGGGCGGCACTGAGCTTTGCCTCTGGGCTTGCACCCCTTAAAGCGTTCACCCTATGAGAAGTAGTCCAGCCAACCAGAGCCCTGTGAGGAGCCTGCACCTCCAGGAAGGTACATGGGATGGTGGCACAATGAGGGAGGTGTGACTCACGGCTTGCCTTGAAGGGGAGAAGGGAGAGAACCTGTGCATCTGGGGCCTGAGCCCTCCCTTCTAATCAATGAGAATCCCTCCTCGGTGCTGGGGCAGGACACAGGTGTTGCGGTCCCAGCACCACCCCCTTCTAACCCACTAGATCCCCATCTTCCCAGTGCTGGGATAGAGAACCCAGGCATCTGGGCTTCCCCTGCTTTAAGCCCTTCATCTCCTCCCTCACTCCCCCTTCCCAGAGCTGAGATAGGAACACAGTGTCCTGGGGGCTCAGACCTTTTATCAGAGACTTTGAACTCTTGGAGGGGGCTGGCCTGGGAAGCCACCACTATCCATCCTGATTTCCCATCAGTTCCTCTTTTATCCCTTAGCCCCAACCTGGAGGTGGTGAGCAGCTTGGCTCTTTGAGCTGAGTGCCTAGAAACCCTAGAACAGCATGGTTAGATGGTGTGGCAGGCGAGTAGGAGGTGCTCCTGCACTGAGCCACCTGCCTCACTGCGCCTGACAGAGAACCAGTCTTCAAGTGCCTCCCCTGGGGCACCTACGTTTGCCTGACCCCCTTGCTGGAGCACACCTGCAAGCCTAGGGTAACTGCTGCCACCACCAGGGGTCTGGTCTTTGTTCAGGGCTCCGTGCTCCCCAGAGTGCAAGGCCTTGTAAACCTTGCAGGTACTTAAGCCACCATGAGATCTTGGGGTGCTTCCTTTAGTCTGAAGCATAGAAAGTAGCTGCCCTTACCACACAAAGAGAGCAAAAAGCTTGCCCAATTCCTTCAACCACTTACTGCCAGGCTTGCTATGAAGGGGCCGCTCTGAGTGGAGACGATGCTTCGCCAGCATGCAGGGTGACAAGAGAAAGGGACACCCAACTAAACAACAAAGTCCTGGGAGTAGGGGCCACAACAGTCCTGGGAGTAGGGGGAGGTGTATGCACCCTCAGCAGGCCTCAAGTGCCTCTATACCAATGCTCGTAGCATGGGGAGTAAGCAGGAGGAACTGTGTCTCCTGATTGCGAGTAAGAATCCAGACTTAGTAGGGCTCACAGAAACCTTGTGGGAACCTACCTGTGACTGGGCGGTGGGCATTCAGGGATACACCCTATATAGAAGGGACAGGACAGAGACGAAAGGCGGGGGGTGGGGAGGTCAAGCTCTATGTCAAAGAGTAACTCACATTGTAAAGGATTAGCTTCGAGTTAGAGGAGGGTCGGGCAGAGACACTGTGGGTCAAACTACAAGGGGGCGTGGCAAAAGGGACCTTACGGTGGGTGTCTACTACAGACCACCCAACCAGAGGGAAGAGCTGGACCAGGACTTCTCCAGTCAGCTTATGGAGGTGGTTAGGTCAAGGGATGTTATTGTCATGGGTGACCTAAACTACCCAGACATTTGCTGGGA